AGGGCAAGCGCAAGGTGCCCTTTGCACTCCGCATGGTGAAGGGCATTGGCATTCGCTTTGCATACATGGTGTGCAAGAAGGCAGGCATTGATGTGGAGCGCCGCGCCGGCACACTGACGGCCGAGGAGCTCGAGAAGGTCTCCGCTGTCATCGCCGAACCGTCCAAGTTTAAGATCCCCGACTGGTTCCTCAACCGCCAGCGTGACCCCAAGACGGGCAAGACGGAGCATCTCACCAGTGCCATGGTTGACACACGTCTCCGTGAGGATCTGGAGCGTCTGCGGAAGCATCGCGTGCATCGCGGTGTGCGTCACGCCTACGGTCTCCGCGTCCGTGGTCAGCACACTTGCACGTCAGGACGACACGGCAAGACGGTCGGTGTGTCCCGCACAAAATAATTGGTCCGTATGAGAACGATATGGATTGAGCGTCTTCTGTTTTTGTTTTCATGCTCTCATCTTCTCTTTTGTTGGTGGGTGTATTTTGTTAGTTTTTTGTTTTTGCTTTTATAAACCAAAAGCGGGACGACGCCCTGAGGTGTGTTTAATGTTGACGGATGAGGCACTCCACTGCTCATGCCTCGTTAAATGATGTTGCATGGCCGCTGTTTTATTATTATTATTTTTTTCTGTTGCGTTTTAGCCGAACTCCGTGGTAGGTCTTAGTGGCAACACTTTACCACTGCTGATGTCCATTTCTTTTAAGGAGCTTATTGCGCTTCGTCGCGTGCATCTGGCACAACAACAGCGGCATCAGCTGCAACCACAACCGCCGTCGGGGCAAAAGAATCGAAATGCTGGAGCCGCTTCACCATTGTCTGTTTTACCTCTGACTCAGCAGGCGACGGAACGCGAGGAAAGTCCCGTAAATGGGTGGGATGAAAGCGACGACGGTTCCTTAGGAGACCAACAGCTGCCTTCTTGGCTCCGGGAGGATTCCACGACAGCCAGAACACCTATTCTGCACCCGTGGTCTCAGCCAGTTGTGGGACGGTACACCGTAGGGGATGAGGTACCTGTCAGCAAGGAGCCCAAAGTCATGGTGCCACACGAGGATCTTAAAGGTGCTCTGCCGCGTGTAGAAGTGATGCGGCGATGGAGACGACGGTATGACGAGCTCTCAGTGGAGGCCTTACTGAAGGAAAGGAACATCATTGTGAATGGCGAGTTTGCAGCTGACATGCCGGGTTTCTACCACTCCTTGTTGCCTCTCCAGGCCTTTGATGACAGAAGCTACGAAGAGTTATCACCCGAAGATTGGCTGGCTAAACATGACGGGTCGGGCGGGGCACCGTGCAAGGTACTGCGCAACACGGGAAAATGGTGTTGGTTGCCAGCTCGTCTAATTGAATGGGATGCGGAAACCAATGTATTAACTGTGAAACTGATTGCCACAGGAGAGGATGGCAATGAACTTTCGAGTTCTCAGGAGAACGGGGCGGTTGTTACACTTCCACGTTTGTATGTGTGTTTTGATGCTGAAAACCCACAAAATTTTGTTGATCGTTTTGCAGAAGCCTTTCGTTTACGAAAACTAATGGAGAATGTACTCCGTCAGCAACTGTACGTGGAGTCCATTCCACCAGATGAGTATCAGACAATTGATCCACTGGTATTAGAGCGTGTGCACAGGGTGAGTCTTAGCACACCCAAGCTAAACGAAAATGAAGCTACTCTTGCTGTGAACAAGCTGTTAGGGGAGGTTAGAAGTGACTACTCTCGTGTCATGAACTTGGAGTTGATGAAGCAAATAACAAAAAATGGCGCGCTGATACAGCTACTCAATGGATCAAGTCTTCCACTGGAGAAGCCAGCGAAGAAGCCCCGAGAGTGTGGTGTGCACAGGCTACGTGAAAATTGTTTTTCTGATGTGCTGAAAGCCTTCTATAGGGATTCATTAGTTGCCTGTAACCCCATCACTGTTGGCGTTCTTCAGCGCGTGAGGGAAGGGAATGAGGCGTTGCTATCTCGAAAGGTGTTTCGTGTTGGTCAGGCGCTGGACCACGATTGCCCTATGACCATGGATGCGTTTGAGGAGGTCCAGGTTGGGTGTATCCGCGACAATGCTCAGTTTATGCGAGAGAAGTGGGTTCCTGGTATCACAGCATACATCAAAGATGCCTTTTCCCCTCGCGAAGGGGTTGGTGAGGTGAGTTTGCAGCTTCCCGAGTGTGCATATTTGGGATCTAAGACACAACGCCTCATGTCTACCGTCACGGCACAAATGCAGGACGCTTTACGAACCCTTTTAACACGAACGTTGGATGAAGTTGCCTCCTTTATTGAAGAAGCAGCCAACTACACCGTTTATGTGCGTGGTATTTCCGATGTGGAGGTTGTGCCACATCAGGGTCGAGAAAATATGAGGATTACACCACTTTTCAAAGTCACGCTCGTTGATGGGGATTCACGAACACTCGTCTATACTACCACTGCCCCCAACTTCTCCAAAATGCTGCTAGAGCTTGTTAATCGTTGTTTGACACTACACACAGGGGTGCGCTCTGTTGAGCGGCAACTGTTTACTTTTTTGTATGACCCTAGCACGGCATTTGTGTCCTCCCTTGATGGGGAAGATCCGGCTGTGCAGAACTGCTTAGGGCGTCTCTTGCAGACGCTCACGCATGCCGGAAAAGCTCTTGATGAATATATTGCGAAGTACGAGGAATTTGAAGAGCTTGTCGCACTGGATGTGTCGCAGTACGTGGAGACTTTTAGGGAACAGTTTACCTCCACCAAGGGAGTGGAGGCTGAAATTCAGCGGTACATTAGCCAGCGGGCCGATATTAGCGCCCGCATTCCCCGCTTTGTAAATCTCGGTTTGTTTCAGGTTGATTGCACAGATCTGAGACGGAGACTGGAGGGCAAATGCACTCAGATTGTCAATGGTCTCCTTGGCGTGGTATTGTACCGGGTGAATATGAAGGCGGCGGAAATAAATGACGGGTTCCGTGCTCTGAGCGACACTCTTATGAAGCCGACAGAAACACCTGAGGAAGTCGTGGAGCGAAACGATTTTATTCGCACAATTCCCGAAAAGGCGTTTGACCTGCAGGCGATTATAGTTGAGATACAACAGATTTACACGCTTCTGGACGCCTTTCAGGTGCCGCTCTCGGAGGATGACTTCAACAGAAAGTGGGTAGCTATTGGCTGGCCCGCGCAGCTGGATGATGAGGTCATTCAGCGACAGAATGAATTGGAGCAGACAAAGCGAAGTCTTATTGTCAGCTTGCGCAAATCACAGGAGGCCTTTCAAGACAAGGTTTCCCAGATGCAACTCACTGTGGAAGGATTTCATCGTCGCACCAACGTCAATAAGATCAATGAGATTGTTGCAGACGTGCATGCTATACAGGAACATATTCAAAACCTTATTGAGACAGCCAACACATTTAACACACATGAATCTCTCTTTGCTATTGAGGCCACCAATTACAGTGCAGTACGGGAGCTTGCATTAGACTTTGACTCCTATGCATCTCTTTGGCTTGCTGTGTATGACTGGAACACGGCAATGCGGGATTGGTATGGCAAGCCGTTTACAGAGATCGACGCGGAGGAGATGGAGCAGCGGGTGTTAAAGAACTATCGTGCTGTTTCCAAAAGCAGTCGTGACCCAAAGCTTACAGAAATTCTTGTTGACATTGCCCACAAAACCAAGACAAAGATTGAAGAATTCAAACCCCTGTTGCCATTTATTAAGTACCTGCGCACAGAAGGGCTGAAGGAGCGTCACTGGGATCAGATCTCAAAAGAGGTCGGTCACGAGATACGTGCTGGTAAGACCCTTCTTTCACTTAATGACCTCAACACACTGAAGGTGACTGAGTATGAAGAGATTCTGCTACGGATCTCAGAAGTGGCAGCGCGTGAGTATCAAATTGAGACATCTCTCAATAAGATGAAAGCAGAGTGGGAAACCATTCAACTCAACACCCAGGCCTATAAATCAACGGGGTGCTACTTGCTACCAAAAGATTCCGTTGACACAATTCAAGAGAAACTGGATGATCAGATGCTTATTACACAATCACTTAGTTTTTCTCCATTCAAGAAATTATTTGAAAACGACATTGCAGCCTGGGAAACTTCTCTGCGGAATGTACAAGTTGTGATGGATGAGTGGCTTATTTGTCAGAAGGCCTGGCTATATCTAGAACCTATCTTTCAGTCGGAGGATATCATCCGTCAACTACCCCGTGAGGGAAAAAGGTTTCAAAAGGTGCATGATAACTGGCATTATCTCACTAACAAGGCACATGAGATTGGTGTGGCCCTAAACTTTTGTGAGATTGCGGAATCGCTTGCAAAGTTTAAGGAAAACAATGATCTTCTGGAACTCATTCAACGTGGGTTAAATCAGTACCTGGAGAGCAAGCGTTCATCCTTTGCGCGCTTCTACTTTCTCTCCGATGATGAGCTTCTCACGATTTTGTCTGAGGCACGTGATCCGAGGAACATTCAACCACACTTTCGTAAACTGTTTGAGAACATCATGGAGATTGATATGCGTGGTCCAAGTAATGAGATGCATGGCATGTACTCGCAGATGCGGGAGTATATTCCCTTTGATAACTTTATTATTCCTCGAAAGAATATTGAAAATTGGCTGACCGATATTGAAAATATGATGCGAATTTCGATTCGTTCTCAGCTAGCGCAGGGCTTGAAGGATTGCGTGGAAAAGGGACGAAAACATTTTCTCCTTAACTCCCCGGGTCAGGTGGCGATAGCAGTCAATCAAATTATGTGGACGCACGATTGTGAAGAAAACCTAAAGGAGAACGGCTCATTGGAGCCGCATATTCCCAAGGCAAAGACTAATTTAATGGAGCTTGTGGAACTTGTGCGGCAGCCTCTTTCAAATCTGCAACGTATGAATCTTAGTGGGCTTATTACAATTGAAGTACACGCCAGGGATATAGTGGAACATCTTGCTGAGGATAAAATTGATAGTATTTACGCCTTTGAATGGATTTCACAACTGCGTTCATACTGGGAAAATAATGACTGTTACTTGCGCCAGGTGGAGGCACAATTTCACTACGGTGGGGAGTACCTTGGAAACACAACACGACTTGTTGTGACACCACTAACAGACCGTATTTATTTGACACTTACAGGGGCGATGCACATGTTCCTTGGTGGTGCTCCAGCAGGTCCAGCCGGTACAGGCAAAACGGAAACTGTGAAAGACTTGGCCAAGGCTGTGGCGAAGCAGTGTGTTGTGTTTAACTGTCAAGAGGGTATGACGTATGCGTCAATGGGAAAATTTTTTAAAGGCCTTGCCCAGGCAGGTGCATGGGCGTGCTTTGATGAATTTAACCGTATTGATGTGGAGGTTTTGTCTGTTGTGGCGCAGCAGGTGTCAACTTTGCAGGAAGCTGCACGCACTAAACAGTATCGTATTCCATTTGAAGGGACAGAAGTTGTTGTAGATCCCTCCTATTCAGTGTTTATCACTATGAACCCTGGCTACGCGGGACGTACAGAATTGCCAGATAACTTGAAAGTTTTATTCCGTCCTGTTGCTTGTATGGTTCCGGACTACGCCATGATTGCCGAGATTCGTCTCTTTTCCTTTGGTTACTCGAACTCGCGAACCTTGGCTCAGAAGATGGTGGCAACATTCCGTTTAAGTTCCGAGCAGTTATCGTCGCAAGACCATTATGACTTTGGTATGCGTGCTGTGAATACTGTTATTTCAGCGGCTGGGCTCATGAAGCGTGAGTCGCCTGATGAAGAAGAGGATGTTCTTTTGCTTCGTGCTCTGCGTGATTCCAACATGCCCAAATTTTTGGAGGAGGATTTGCTACTTTTCTCAGGTATCATCTCTGATCTCTTCCCTGGGGTGGAACTGCCCCCACGGGACTACGGCTCCCTGTTGGGTGTCCTTAGGGAAAAGGCGTTGGAGCTGCATTTGGAGCCTACAGAGATGTTTGTAAGGAAGTGTGTTCAGCTATTTGAAATGAACATTCTTCGACATGGCCAGATGATTGTGGGACCTACAATGGGAGGGAAGACATCTGCTGCCCGTGTGCTTCAGGCGACTATGACAAAGTTGCGGGTTGAAATGAATGAGGAACGGTTTTCGGAAGTGCATATACATGCGTTGAATCCCAAGTCTATTACGATGGCTCAGTTATACGGCGGTTTTGACGAGGCAACAGGGGAGTGGCGTGATGGTCTTATTGGAGAACTATTTCGTGTCGCAGCCCGTGACGTCTCTGACAACAAGCAGTGGATTTACTTTGATGGACCTGTAGATGCCTTGTGGATCGAATCTATGAATACAGTGCTTGATGATAACAGGAAACTATGTCTTATCTCTGGTGAAATTATTGCCATGACACCATACATGAGCTGTTGGTTTGAAGTGGAGGATCTCGCTGTGGCATCTCCAGCCACTGTGTCCCGTGCAGGTATGATTTACATGGAACCTGTAAGCTGTGTCGGAGTGGAGGCGTTTATCACAACGTGGCAGCGTCATCGACTGCCCAATACGATGGAGCCGTATATGGAGGCTCTAAAAAACTTATGCGTGACTCTATTCCCTGCTCTTATTGAATTTATTCAACAGGATGTGGTGGAGTACAGTCCCTCCGTGTGGCCCAACTTAGTTGTCTCATGTTTTAACATCTTCGAGGCTTTGTTAATACCCTTTACACCCACTCGAACGGCGGATGTGCCACAAGAGAGGCTGGAACGACTTAAAGAGGTGTATATACATCTTTTTATTTTTTCTGTTGTGTGGTCCTTTGGCGCCACGGGCGACATGAATAGCCGGCAGCGTTTTGACCAATTTTTTCGGGCACAGCTAGACAATCTTGAGGTGTCTATTAAACTTCCAGTCATTGGTTGTATTCAAGAGTATGAGTATTTGGTAGATGAGTCTCGTTGGGTGTTGTGGACCGATCGTCTTCCAGCCTTCACCGCGCAAGTCACAGCAGAAAACATTGCGGAGGTCATTGTACCTACAGTAGATGTTGCACGATACAAATTTATCAATAAACTTCTTCTGCAGAAGTCCTTCCACACTCTCTGCTGTGGTCCTACTGGCACGGGAAAGACGGTCCTGCTACAGCAGCTACTCATGAATGAAATGCCGAAGGAGTTTACGCCCATTTTCTTTACCTTTTCCGCCCGTACAAGTGCCAACCAGACGCAGGATCTCATTTTCTCCAAGTTTGAGGTTCGACGTCGTGCCGCTCCGCAGATATGGGGTGCCCCGGTGAACAAAAAATTTGTGATTTTCATTGACGACATGAACATGCCAGCGAAAGAGCAGTACGGAGCCCAGCCTCCCATTGAGATTCTGAGACAATACATGGATTATCATGGCTGGTATGATCGCAAGACACGAGAGTTCTTTCAAATCGTGGATGTCGTCTTTACAGGTGCGATGGGCCCACCCGGTGGTGGCAGGACGTATGTCAGTCAACGCTTTCTTCGTCACTTTAACCAAATCGCGTTCCCAGACATGGATGCGGCTAGCATGAAGCGGATTTTTGTCTCTATTCTAGAAAGTTATTTTAAGCCTTTTAGCGAGGAAATACGCAGTAAACTTTTCTCTGTTGTAAATGCATCCATTGATGTGTTCTACACCGTCACGAAGGAGCTTCTACCGACCCCTTCGCGTCCGCATTACCTCTTCAACTTACGTGATGTTGCCAATGTGATGAGTGGACTGCTCAAAGCCACGCCAAAGCTGACGACTAGCCTTGTTGCCCTGCTTCGATTATGGGTGCATGAGGAAATGCGTACATTCAGGGATCGCCTTACCACAGTTGAGGACAGAGAGTGGTTTGATGAGCAGCTTCAGAAAGAGATTGAGAAGCATACCAGGGTTCCCTTCTCGGAGATTGTGCCATCTGAAAAAGGCACCGATGGTCTTTTATTTGTAGACTTCCTTGACACCAAATCAGATCAGCACCTCTACGAAGAAGTGTGTGATCCCCAGCAACTTGTGAAAGTACTGGAAGATAGATTGATGGAGTACAATAGTGTTTCTTTTCACAAGATGAATCTTGTGATGTTTGCCTATGCTGTGGAACACATTTGTCGGATTGCACGTGTTATTCGGAAACCAAAGGGGCATGTGCTTCTTCTGGGTGTTGGAGGCTCTGGACGGCAGTCGCTCTCCCGTGTTGCCGCATTTTTGAACGAGTTTGAGGTGTTTCAGGTGGAGATCTCGAAGAATTACTCCATGAATATCTGGCGTGAGGATATCAAGACGGCACTTCGACAGGTGGCGTTTAAGAATAAGCAGGTGATGTTCCTCTTTACTGACACACAAATTGTGAATGAGTCCATGCTGGAAGACGTCAATAACCTTCTTAACTTGGGTGAAGTACCAAATCTCTTTGTAGGACCTGATCTGGATGAGGTATTTAACTCCATGAAGCCTGTGTGTATTGCCGAGGGCATTCAACTTGATAAGGTGGGTATGTATGCTCGATTTGTTAAGTTCTGTAAGTTTAACTTGCATGTGTCGCTTTGCATGTCACCCCTTGGAGAACCTTTTCTGAATCGGCTCCGCATGTTTCCTGCCCTGGTAAACTGCTGCACCATTGACTGGTTCACGGCGTGGCCAACACAGGCATTGCGGAGTGTGGCGCACAATTACTTTTCAAACCTCAAGTTGGTTGCGGCAGAGGACGTGGAAAAGTGCACGGATTTGTGTGTTATAATTCATGAAAGCGTGGAGGAGATGTCCGTTCGCTTCCTTGAGGAAACGCGACGCCACAACTACGTGACGCCCACCTCCTTTTTGGAGTTGCTCCACACCGTTAGCCGACTTCTTGAGTCCGAGACAGAGACAGCAAATAGGACGACACACCGTTTGCAAAATGGTTTGGCAAAGCTGCGTGAGACGGAGAATGCAGTGACCGAGCTTCAGCAAAGTCTGGAGAAGAATCAGCCCATTTTAATTCAGAAGAAGGAGTCTATTAAGAAACTCATGAATGAGATTGCCATTCAAACAGAGTCCGCAAAAGGAAACAAAACGTGAGGCCCAAACCGAAGAAGCAGCGGTGGCAGCCAAGCAGCGTGAATGCGCCGCCATTGAGGCTGAGGCGCAAGAGCAACTTAGTGAAGCATTGCCAGAATTGGATCGCGCCTTGGCTAGTTTGGCAAATTTGAAGTCGTCGCAGATCACAGAGGTGGCTGGTTACAAGGCACCCACGCCCGGTGTGGTGATGACCGTGCAAGGGATCAGTATTCTTTTTCAGCTTAAGCCTGTCATGCGTGCTGCAGGTCCGATGGAGGAGAAGAAGCCAGACTATTGGGCTACAGCCAAGGAACAGTTACTGAATAACCCTAATCTTTTAATGCAACGTTTGATGAACTACGACAAGGAACATATTCCTGAACGACTTATTCAAGCTGTTAGGCCGTTGGTTTCCTCTGAAGACTTTACGCCAAAGAAAATTGCCGGTGCCAGTCAAGCATGTGCAGCAATGTGTCAGTGGACTCATGCCATGGTGAAATTTCACGAGGTAAACAAGAAGGTGGAACCACTGCGGCAAAGGTTGGCTGTTGCTCAAGAAGACAACCGTGTCTTTCAAGAGAAACTTTGCATAGCGCAGGCTAGACTGGAAGAGGTTGCGAAAAAATTGGAGGAATTACAAACCAACAAGACACGCGCTGAGGAAGAAATGAAGGAATTGGAACGTGTGGTGGAGCTGACAGAAATCAAACTTGGGAGGGCAGCTATGCTTATTGATGGACTGGCAGGTGAAAAGAAGAATTGGAAGAATACGCTGCATGAGATTGATGAAAATTCCAAGTTTCTTTTGGGCGATATGATTGCGGCGGCCGGACAAATCGCCTACGTGGGACCATTCACCGCCTCATATCGTAGTGATTTATTACAGGCATGGATGGCTGAACTTGAAGATCACCGTATTCTGCACCATGCGCAGCTTTCCGTGTACCACACTTTGCAGGACCCCATTGTCACTCAGGGGTGGAATGTCAATGGACTTCCTACGGATATGTTATCGGTGGAAAATGCCATTATTATGAATAGTGCACGTCGTTGGCCGCTAATGATTGACCCACAGACTCAAGCGAACAAGTGGATTCGACAAACCTTTGGTGAAGGGATAGAGATCTTAAAACCCAGCCAGAAGGATTTGATCAAGCGTATTGAGTATGGTGTTCGTTCAGGTCGAGCTGTGCTTTTGGAGAACATTGGTGAGGGAATTGATGCCAGTCTTGCTCCGCTTCTTGCCAAGCAGACCTTTACGCAAGGTGGACAGGAGATGATTCGTTTGTCAGAGCATCCCATTCCTTGGAATCCGGATTTTAGGTTTTACATGACTACCAAGCTTCCAAACCCGCACTACATTCCAGAGGTGATGGTGCAAGTCACGCTACTAAATTTTTTTATTACCCCTCAGGGGCTAGAGGATCAGCTTCTTGGTGTTGTAGTGGGGCAGGAGCGCAAGGAGCTGGAAATGCGTCGGAGTGAGTTAATTAAAGACAATGCTGCAATGCGGGCCGAGGTTGCCAATATTCAGAAGACTATTTTGCGGAAAATGGAGGAGGTCACCGGTGACATTTTAGATGATGAGAGCCTTATTCAATACCTGAATCAGTCGAAGACTACCACGGATGAGATTAAAATTAAGGTGGAAGAGGCTGAAGAGGCTGAGAGGGAAATCAACGCAAGCCGAGAGTGGTATCGTCCGGTTTCACGTCACTCGTCATGTTTATTTTTTTGCAGTGCAACTCTCTCCAATGTGGATCCCATGTATCAATACTCCCTACAGTGGTTTGTCCGGCTCTTTATCAATGGTATCGAGTCAGCAGAAGAGTCAGAGGACCTGGAAACACGACTTCGGAATCTAAGAGATTACTTCACGTACAGTTTCTACCAAAACATCAGTCGTTCACTCTTTGAGAAGCATAAAATTATGTTTTCCTTCTTTCTTTGCATACGTATTTTACAACAGGAGGGTGGCATTGATGAGGATGAATTTCGTTTCCTCCTGCAAGGGCCTTCTATGAGCTCCATAACGCAGCCTAGTCCAGCACCATCTTGGCTTACCGAGTCCACGTGGGCCGATATTTGCTACCTTTCAGCTAACTTTGCCTGTTTCAAGGGAATTTCCATGCACATTGCCGATAACTTGGAACATTACCGTAAGATTTTTATGTCTTCTACAGCTCATACAGAAAGACTAAAAGGTGTGTACGCAGAACGGCTTACTCCCATGGAACGTATGATGTTCCTGCGTTGCCTCCGGCCAGATAAGTTGATGGAGGCGGTACAAGATTTTGTGAAGGACAATTTAGGAGAACGTTTTATTCGTCCACCCCCGTTTGACCTCTTAACATCGTTTAAGGAATCAAACCCCATGGCGCCACTCATCTTTATTCTTTCCCAAGGTGCGGATCCCTTTGAAGACTGGAAAAAGTTTGCCGAGTCACAAAACATGGGTAAGAAACTTTCTGACATATCTCTTGGGCAAGGACAAGGCCCTCGTGCTGAACGCATGTTACAGGAAGGTATGGAAAATGGTGCGTGGGTTCTCTTACAAAACTGCCACTTGGCGACGTCGTGGATGCCAACCTTGGAACGACTTGTAGAGGCCATGAGTCCTGGAATTCACCCTGCATTTCGTCTTTGGCTCACATCTATGCCAAATCCACACTTTCCAGTCTCTGTGTTGCAAAATGGTGTTAAAATTACAAATGAACCACCCAAAGGTATGCAGGCCAATGTTACACGCTCTGTTACAAGTTACCCAAGCGACTATATGAATACCTGTCGCAAACCGAAGGAGTTTAAAAAAATGTTTTTTGCAATGTCTTTTTTTCATGCTCTTATTCAGGAGCGTCGTAAATTTGGTCCACTGGGGTGGAATATTCCTTATGAATACACGTCTGGAGATTTGGGGTGTTGCATCACGCAGATTCACATGTTTTTGGAAAAGTACGGCGAAATTCCATATAAGGTCATCAAGGAGCTGAGCGGCAATATTCATTACGGTGGCCGTGTCACGGATGATTGGGATCGGCGAACCCTTAATACAATATTGGAGGTGTTTGTCTGTCCTGAGGTGATGCAGGATGACTACATTTTCTCTCCATCTGGCATCTATCGTTCTATTCCAGCTGGGTCGCAGAAGGATTATTTGGAGTACATTGACTCTTGGCCTCTCAATACAAATCCTGAAATTTTTGGCTTGCACGAAAATGCCGACATCACGTGCGCGCGTAATGAGACGTTTGAAACGTTGGAGGCCATCGTTGCTTTGCAAGGTGAAGCGACACGAAAGAATGCCTTGGGGAAGTCCCCAGATGAAGTTGTTGTGGAGCTGGCTGAACTTATTCGAGGTAAGTTGAGTGATCCATTTAACATTGTGCAGTTTTACAAGAGATATCCTACACGGTATGAAGATTCTATGAATACAGTGCTTGTACAGGAAGCTATTCGATTCAATCGTCTCACGGTAGTGGTGCGAGAAACACTTGCGGTACTTCCCCTTGCCATTAAGGGAGAAGTATTGATGAACCGGGAGCTGGAGGAGGTATATCGTTGCCTGTATAATAATCAGGTACCCGGTCAGTGGTCGGAACGGGCCTATCCAAGTCTTAAACCGCTTGGCTCATGGGTGGATGATTTGACGCAACGCTTGGCAAAGATCCAGGCATGGTATGAGGGTGGGCACCCCAATGTGTACTGGATATCTGGTTTCTTTTTCCCACAGGCGTTCTTGACGGGTATTCTGCAAAATTATGCTCGTAAGAAGCAGATTTCCATTGATACCATAAGCTACGGCTTTGAGTGGATAAACACGGATCCTGCTAAGGTAACTGCGCCCCCTAAGACAGGTTGCTACGTCTACGGCATATTTATTGAAGGTGCACGGATTGACTGCAATACGCTGCAGCTTGTGGAGTCCATGCCTAAGGTGCTGTTTGAGCACGTCCCCATGTTGTGGCTCAATCCCATTATCAACAAGGAAAAGCCAAAGGATGACGTGTATATCTGCCCACTTTACAAGACACTGCGTCGTGCGGGTACACTGAGTACCACGGGTCACTCAACAAACTACGTTCTCACGATGGAAATACCCACTACAGTTGATCCTAGTCATTGGATAAAGCGCGGTGTTGCTTGCGTGTGTGCATTGAACTCCTAAAAATGCGCACCAACACAAATATGCTCACGCACACGCAGACGCACAAAAGAAGCAGAGGGGGGGGGGGTACGAAAGGGGAGGAGGAAAGAACGAGAGGAGACAAAATGGTTTAAAAATCAACAAAAAGTAAAACAAGAAAAAACAGGCATACATGACATGGGTGAAGGGCTTGCCTAAACCAATGCTGAATGAATCTATTCCACTTTATGTGCTCTTTTTGTCCCTTCCTTTTCTCTGTACCTGTTTGTCTATTTGCTTTGTTTGGTTTTCGCTTTTTATGTACAGAGAAGGCAGCGGAGATGTGCCGCTGTTGTTTATGTTTTATTTTTGCTCCATTTCATGTATGTGTGTTTGTACGCGTTATTGCGCTTTGGGGCCTTTGACCGCTGTCCATGGCATATTTATGCTACCTCCTCGATGGCCTGGATCATATCTCTATATTTTGCTTTTTTTTTCTTTGATTTCTCTCTCTCTCGCCCACTCTTTGCGGATTT